GGATGGAATTCAAAGAAACCATTCTGAGCGAGGTAACCCAATCACAAAATACCAAACATGATATGTACTCACTCATATGTGGACCTACTTTATGATACATAGTAGTGACCATGCTTTATCAGAGCTGTTTTTAATGATGTTGCTCAGAATGGTTTCCTCCCAGATGATGACTGAGAAACTAATTTAAAAAAAATGGTGCAAAGTACCACAAGAGTAACAGAACTGTGCTGTTTTCTGGGATTTTGTTTTTTACTTTGTTGTTGTTGTTGTTGTTGTTGTTTGTTTGTTTGTTTTTTGTTTTTGTTTGTTTTTTAAAATGGAGTGTGCTGGATGTCTCTACAATTTTGTTCAAAGGACTGCAGAACCTGGAAAAGCTGTTACTGCTATTGATACATAACATATTGCCATTATTGCTCTTTTTATATACATGTATATGTATATATATATATATGCTAATTGAAACTCAAATATGTGATGAATCCAAGGTGTTTCAGTGAGTGCTCACCTGTACATGCAAATTTGATTTCATCTTTAGTAAGTAGTAAAGTTATATGCTTGCCAAAGAAAAAAAAATAAGTGACACACTGGAAGACAAATGTCACACAATTTCAATTTTATGTGTAACCTAGAAATGATGAACTTATGGAAACAGAGAGCAGAATTGTGGCTATTAGGCTTCAATGTGGGTCTTTTAACAATGGGGGAATGATTGGTTTAAGGATATAAAACTCCAGTTGGACAAGAGGCATGGACTCTCTGAAGTCTTGAGGTCTACTGAGAGCATGATAAATATGGTTGATAACAATATGCTATATTTTAAAAGTTGTGAGATAGTATACTTTAAGTGTTCTCAAAACAAAAATGATGAATATGTGTGATATAACATGTTAATTGGTTTAATTTAGCCATGCCATTGTGAACATGCTGTATTCTGTATCATAATTGTGCATGACTTTATTTATGAGCTAAATAAATGAATGAAAAAAAAAGAAAAAGAAAACACCCTCACCAGACTGGCTTCTTGGTAACCCTAGGGAGGGAGCATTTTCTTGATTAATGATGTGGGAGGGGGCAGCTGACAGTGGGTGGTGCAATCCCTGGGCTGGTGGTCCTGGGTGCTATAACAAAGCAGGCTGAGAAATCCATGAAGAGCAAGCCAGTAAGCATCATTCCTTCATAGATATGGAACTGCAAGTTTGAAATGACCCTTTACTCCCCAGGTTGCTTTTGGACATGGTGTTTACTTCAGTAATAGAAGCTTTGAGAATGCTACATATTGACAAAAACCAGATGAAAGATGAGGAGAGGAGGGGAAAGGGAGAGAAAGAAAGAGAGAGAGAGAGAGAGAGAGAGAGAGAGAGAGAGAGAGAGGAAGAAAGAAAAAGAAAGAAAGAAAGAAAGAAAGAAAGAAAGAAAGAAAGAAAGAAAGAAAAAAGAAAGAAAACACAACAAGAAAATCAGAAAAGAAGAAACAAAAGCCAAATCCCTTCATTCTGTCCCCCCTGCAAGCTGGAGGCAGGGGCAAGGGGACCCAGGCTGCACTGGGAGTGCTCCCCAGTTACTGTCTCATTGCAGAATATTTTTCTCAGCTTCAGAGTTTCCATCAATTTTAATGCATGAAGTCTACTTTGAAACTGGATACAAAAATAAATACACTGTCTCCAAATACTGACATAATAAACAAGTCTTTCAGCCTAGAGTCTTTAAACCTAAGAGATTCTAACTTTGGATTGTGGTTTAGTGACCAAAGCTGAAATTACTTCATCTTTAACCTGCAAAACTTAAGGTAAACTCCTTTATAACCATATGAACCCTCAACCTGGTGGATTGTAATAAGCACTGGATAGCAGCAAGCTGAGGAACATAGTGTGATTCCATACAAGGCCATTATATATTATAATAAAATATAAAGCATTGTTTTTCTCTATAATTCAACAGGGTTAAGAGCTGTGTCCTTTTATGAGATGTAGAGGAAAATTTTTCTTCTCTTTAATGGGATTTTTTTTCACTAAAGAAGATCCCCTAAATGCCAGAAGCCAGTGGTCTTAAAGTTGTGTTTTGTGCATGGGACTAGACGGGGCATGTGGCCAAGGAGGATGGGATGTGGGAACCCCGATGAATGATAACTAAGTGTCTGGGAAGAAAGGAATGATACATTACAATAAACATCAAGTGGACATATTTGAAAATCCCTAAATAAAATGTCAGATAAATTAATGAACTAATTAGTGCACAACAATACTTCTACTAAAGAGAGGGGGGAACCCACCCCATTCCCTCAGTCTTATGCCCTTTTAACATTTACATTTAATTAAATCAGATTTTTTGTTTATATTCACACAGATGGCTAATGTCACCTCCGCAATTCATTCCTGAGTAAACTCACCACACAAAAAGTAACAGTCATTTTTCAAAGTACACAAATACCAGTCACCATGGAAACCAGTTGGTGTCTTGCTGCTTTTGATTCTGTTTTCAGTGCAGAATGTTAACCACAGGACATTCCAGCTGTGACTCATAGCCACGACCAGAACTTGCTGGTTTGGGCCTGGTAAAAACCATGATTTCTGCTTTCATCAAGCCTGGGATCTACTCCACAGAACCACCAAGAAGTTCTAAGTAGGAAACTAAAACTTCTGGGTGAGACTTCCTCACCTTGAATATGAGTTCTAATTTGTATCACTAAAAGACTCTTTAAAAAAAAATACTTGAAATGATTCTCACTTTGTCACTTTGGCCATCAAACACTTTTCAAATATGAAATTGTGTATCATAAGGACTTCTGTGGTCAATCTTTTCAGTTTTTCTTTTAGGAACACAATTCATGTATAATGTTT